GTTCGTTGTAGTTTTTGAAAAGTGATTTCTGTTAAATAAAATATCTCCTTTTGAAGTGGGCGTTGAGCTTTGTAACTTTGCAGATCTTTTTTATGCTCAAACAGCAACATTACAGACTAACTAAAGTTGAAAAAGTGAAAAAGCATAATAGGACCCCTTTAAAGCTATCTAAAACTACTTTATGCATATTTGGTTTTTATTTCTTATTGGTAATTTTTTTTTCCCCTCTCAAATTTTCTGAGGACCCCCTTAAATACACTCTCTGCAATTCATCCATAACGAGGGTGGAGAACAAAACACAGCTAAATAATGAATCACTGATGAGGAAGAAACAACAACATCCTCCAGAAGGCAATGAGCGCCACATCGCTCCCTCTGTCTTTCTTCATTGCTCTTTCACTTTCCACCCCCTGCGTCTGGCAACAGGACAAGGTCAACACAGCCTCCCCTCTTCTAAATTTCCCATTCCTTCTTCTCCCCTTCTCTCTCTGTATAGACTGTCATCCAGTCACACACACACACACATTCCTCTGGTCACAGCAGATTCACCCAATTTGTTTCCACTGCGCTTTTAAGTGTACATTAGAAATGCAAAGAGAGAGCCAAACGCATAAACAATAACAAGAACCAGCTGCGGACCCAACGCAGCAATCGTGCGCAGTTTCTCCAGCGACGTAGAGCGAAGAGGAAGTCTGGGAGAACGGTCGCGGCTGAGAATCAAATGAACGGTGTGGATTAAGTGCAATTCGAAATTCTCCAGACATAATTTTCTCCCTTCTCGGGTTCTCATATTTCTCTCCTTTCTCGCTCTCTCTTTCCATGCCTTTCCTGCTCCTCTTGGATTGCTCATGATTCGTAAGGCCTCCAGGAACTCTGTCCAACCTCAAACTCAAGCCAAAGGGGGAAGAGATTGAGAAAATAGAATGAGACGTAAGGGTTGATGAAGAGAAAATGGAGGGCAGGAGCTCAGGAATTCTTTCTTTTGGAAATGCTGTACAAGGCATCCTCGTTTATGTAAAGTTAAATAAGGAGCTAATGGAGATGAAGAATTCCAGAAGCAGCCATTGGTGGTTGGTGTTTCACAAGAAAAGAATGTGTGGTTTCATCTCTCCCTTCTGTCTTTCCTCACCCATTCTCTCCAGCGAACCCAACGAACCCCAACGCAAAAGCGAAGATCACATTATAAGTCAAAACTGATGTAAGACGGACACATCCCTCAGTAATCACAGCAAACAATATCTCACGACCCACTGAAACATTCATACGCATACTCCCTCAGCCACACATTCATCCACAATCTGTCTCTCATTCCATTCCTCAGACCCTCTGTTAATGTTGCAGTTTGTTGCATCAGGACTGGGCTTGGCGTTGCACTGAGAACCTCCCAAAGTACTGCCATAACCACCACAGACACTGAGCTGGACACGGCAAACGCCCACATATTCAGATTAACAGTCATCAGTATGGGGTTTTCAATAAGCGATTTTGAAGGCACATTTGGTATCCCTCAATCTTGATTATTTGCGTGCATCTGCGATATATGTGAGTGATAATGAACCTTAGTAAAGGTAGACGGCATACATAATAGTTTGCGAATAAAAATGTGTATAAAAACCAGTACACATGGCTTCTAAAAATTAGACTTGATTTAGGACCTCAAAACAGTACGACCCATTTAACGGAATGTACATCTATCCCTCAAATTGTTATTTAAAATAAAATAAAATATGGTGTATTTATTTGTAATCTGTCTTTTAAATTAGCTATCACATCATGTTACTGGAACTAAAACTGTCAAACGTAAACATGCTGCTTTCAGTTAGCAAGCTAATCATTTAGCCTACTAGTTTAGCGTTGAATGGTTACGAAAAGCTTTTCTGATTTGCTCTATGACAAGATATCACAATAACGCAGGATGGGATCATAGTTTTACCCAACATAAAAATGAAATAAACCACATCGGGACACGAAGCATAAGGGTCTTGTATCATGCTGAAGGGGTTAAGTTAGCAAGCTAACAATTTAGCCTACTAGTTTAGCATTAAATGGTTATGAAAAGCTTTTCTGATTAGCTACGACAAGATATAACAATAATGCAGGACAGGAGTTGGCCCTGACATAAAAATAAAACAAACCCCATCAGGACACGAAACATAAGGGTCTTGTATCATGCTGAAGGGGTTAACTTTGCGATAATTAAAGGCTGACTGTAAATTACGAAATTTTCACACAATCTACTGCATAAAAAATAAACAAACATGAAATAGATTATTATGTGCAAGAAAGGCTGCAGACTAATACAAGAAATGTAAACTAGCATAACTGAGAAATCTTGTGAGACATTGTCAAATAAAAAATAGCGCTCATTATAAAAATATATATATTTGACCGCGGAATGTCAGGACTGTCCAATCAGCATTTGGTATTCTATAAAGCCTTGTAAAATAACATAACATTACAGCAACCGAAGCACAAATAACCTCCCACCCACGCGCTCAGGTGTCCTCCGTTCACACCTGTAGCTGCCCTGACGTGACTGTCATAAGTTATATAACACCAGGCGGTCTCTATTTATGACGGAGCCTGTTTACCAAACCTATTCGTGTTCAGTGGTATTCGATATCTATTCAGCATTTAAGAAACTGGGTCAGACTGTCTGGATAAAACTTGCGCCAGATAACACACGACATGCCCGACGGGTTTACCTCAGTAAAGACGCTCCGTCTGATTCCGAGATACGTGACCCGCTGAGGCGACTCGGAGCGCGCGGTCCGTTTAACGCCTAACGATTAAAACGCCAGATGTCTTCATCAAAAACACTCCTGGATCCAGTTGACCCTTTCCAGCTCACGCATAACACGAAAGGCTATGCTTAGACTAAAAACGCAAACTGTTCTATTAGGATAAGAGCAGGTAAAATTGTCAGGAGATATATAATTGTGTCAAGTTACGATAAATCGTTCTAAAATAAATACATTTCAAAGGAGCATCGCTTGCTTACGACGCCTGTCTACTGTCTCCCAGCTCCTTCCTCAGTCAGAAAAAGTGACGGAGGGAGAGGGAGGAGAATAAGACAGAGGGTGGAGGACATGAAATGATGATTCTTTATTTTCCTCCAGATGTGGTCTCTCTCTCTCTCTCTCTCTCTCT